GCGAAACAGGAATCGGATCGGTGTTCGTTGCTCGGTGAACAGCAAAATGGCCCCCAACCACGGTCGAAGCTCACACGCACGACGCCTCGGTGCGCACGCGATTCCGCAATGAAGCCGCGTGTGCGTGCGCGCGCGAGTGCGTAACCGCGTGGGTGCGTGCACGCAACACGCCGCGACGGAGGCGCGGGACAGGCGCCGAAAAAACGCGACGACCGACCACGAATCGACGCCAACTTTTATCTTTCTTTTAAAAAAAACTGCGTTGTTCCGTTCCATTTACAGCCATACTTGTTGTTGCATCTCGAAAGGGATCTTTCATAGGGAAAATAACTTGTTCCTATTCTGATAATTTGATATTTTTTGTTGCCCAACGAAGACATCTTGAACAAACGTAAATTAAAATCACTGTTATCTTCGCTAGTGTTTCAAAGACTGTACTACTGCTTAAACCTCTTTAGGTTGTTGAAATCGAATTATTTCGATGCTAAAAAATAAGTACCGTTACTGCTTCAACAAATATGGCGTCGTTTCGAGCACAGTGTCCTTTGAAACTTACTTGTTTCAAGCTTGAAGTCGTGTAGTTTCCAGCGACTGCGTCGCATTGCCGTTCGAATCAATTTTCATCGCGAGGCCGCGGTTGAAAAAGAGGAAAAATCAGTCTGGACGCCGACGGGGGTAGAAAGCTCGGTAATGGAATACTAAGCGACATGTTGGTGGCGATGCGTCCAGCGGCGAACGCAAACGGCGTAACTACAGGTGTGCAGCTAGCACGCTAAACAAATCACGAGAGAGTCGAGAGTCGACAGTCCGAGAGCGAACGTGAGTCTGCAATTTCCCACGTACACGCACGCGCGCACAGCCCAGCGCCGGACACTAGATAATTAAAGCTGCGAGGCACGTTTTGATCGAGTTTCGCCCGGCTCGTTCGCCCGCGCTGATTGTTTCTCGTTTCAATTTTCGGGAAATTGGAAAAAAAGAATCTCGTTCGGCGCGCCAGCATCCAGGAAATGCCCGCTAAAACTGATTTTCCGTCTCTAAACGGAACGAAGAGGTGGAAAATATTTTTCCATCGCAATTTTTTATGAAGCTCGATAGCGCTTGGGATGTTTAATTTGAGTGAAGATCGTGGCAACTTCTAGTTCTGTAACTGGACTACTATGAATCGAGTCACCAGGTGCAAACATAACATCTGAGTCAGAATTTAACGAAGTTGAAGTCTTGAAAGTACTAAAAGCAGCTACCTCGATAAGAGCTACTCGACTCTTAGATTCTAGAACCACGGAGCAACAGGTTCCACAGACTTTCTACCTCTCCGAAAGTTCACAAATTTGTCAAAAATCAAGTCACCAGGTGAAACAATAACATTTGAGTCGGGATTGAATAAATTTTAAGCCTTGAAAGTACCAAAAACAGCTACCTCGATAAGAGTTACTCAACACTTCTGCGAGCCACAGGCTCCACCCACCTTTTATCCCTCTGGAAGTTTGGAAATTCGTCGGTAATCGAATCAACGGGTCAGAGAATAAAATTTGAGCGAGAATCGTGCGACCTCCGAATCTTGAAAAGGCGGCCGTCTCAGATCTGCCAACGTCAGACGATAAAGGCTGCGAGATTGCATTCCAGTATTTCCAGTATTTCAGGTATCCGTCGACGTCCCACCGCGAGACTATCGACTGGACCGCTTCGTTAGCGGCGAACCATAACCAGGACAACGAAACCAGCTCGAAAAATCCAAGGACGACTAACGAGGAAGCCGCCTGGGTCCAAGATATCGACGCCGAGCGTCGAGTGGCAGCCAGGTTACGCTTTTGTCGAACCACTCGAAACGAGGAGTCGTTGGGTAGTCTTTATGCAACGAGTTAGTCGATCCAACCGAAAGGACGAATGCCTGGCCGCTTTTGGGCGGAGTAGATTAAACGGCGGGATCAAGTGTTCTTGATAAAGGCGGCTCGAGTGTCGCGGAGAACGACTAAATTCAGGGAAAAATCACAAGGCACGTCGGACGCCGACGGATCTCGCGTTTGTTGTTCTTTGCCTCGACCGGAGATCGGTTTTGAATTTTGATTGATCTTAACGCCGTTGACTCTCGAGTATGCGAGTTAACTCGCGCATGATGATGTATCGTCGATGGCTAGCTACGAGTAAATAATGAATAATGGGCGTGTGGAAGGAGGATAAGAATCAATATGCATCGCAGAATTGAGTGTTTGTACACGAAGAAAGAAAATAACAAGTTGTCTCGTGGCTGACATCGGTGCAAAGTGCACGTCGATGATCATTTGGTCTAACTTTAGTCCAACGGTCAAGAAAGGACGTCATTTAGAGAGCAAAGGCAACCCGAACATAAGTACATAATCCTAATTCGCTAATCACTCGTTAAATGAATCGCGTTTAACGTCAGGTACGTTCCATCCTTGAGAACAAAGGGACGACCTGGGACAGGCTTCATCGCGTTTTCCACGACAGACTAACCAAATCTGAATCCATTAACCCTCGAAACCATCCCTGGCCGACCCTGGACGGCTCATTTCCAGCGCGATTCCCACGCACGTCGCTCCTCCGTAAGGTAAATTCGCCTCTCCTCGAAACGGGAGCAACAGGACCCGTGGTACACCATTTTCCCGCTGTTTGCTGACCCCGTAGTCCTTTAGTCCGTGTTTGCTCGTGTGCCAGGGGGCTCGAGATGCACTCGAGGAAGCCGTCTCGAATGTCTCGAGATGTCGAGTGTCTCATTTTTGTTTGCTGGCTCCGGGATTTTCCCGACAAAGGGCCCGGTGCGGCCAGCCCACGGATTAGAGATCTATCCGCTCTCTTGAGTGCTGCTTGCGCTAATTTCGCTGCTTTCCTTCGACTTAGCTGCCCGAAGGACCGCGGGAAATTAGGGTCAACCGAAAAGTCAAGTCGAAAAACCGAGGACTGTTTTTCTTGGGACTTTTCTCTGACGAAGGATGTGCCTAAGTGGTCCTGGAGGATGATGGATATTGTTATGGATGGTTTAGGATTTGAGTCAATTTTGTAGATAGTGACTTCTCTATGGTTGCTATTGGCAAGGAACATGACATCAGCATTTGGGTTAAAACCCCTCAAACGATAGGGTACTTGTCCTGGCACAAAGGGAACATCGAGTCAAACATTGTCGAGTACAGGTGTTTAACTATTTTACAAAATAACTGTATCCTCAACTACCACTGGAAGCTAGACAATGCCTCGAACTATGAATCAAAATTCCCGTAAGAAACATTCAAAGGGCCCAAGTACAAAAGACCCGATAGAAAAACCGTCCCTGATGCCACGAATCAAACCCATCCAACCCGAATGCAAGATCCGCTTCTCATGATCGCGATCAAAGTGCCCCATAGAATCCGCCTAAATCCTCGAGATGTTCCGAGAACCTGGAAAGGGTTGGGACCTGGCTGGACTGTATCGGGCCCATTAAGGGTTGTTGGGCCTCGAAGGGGTATTTTCTGGGCTCGTGCACAAACTGGATCTTTGGTCGACGTAGGTGAACCGTGGCTAACGTCATGGCCGCGGTTACCTTTCGACCGGTCCCTTCAACCCCATCCGGGGGCCCCGACGAGCGAAGAAAAGAGAGACGGTGGCGCACCGCGCGATATACGCGGCCAACAAGACGAACAGGACCGAAGAAGAAGAAGAAGACGACGACCGACGACGAAGAAAAAGGCTGGTCGTAACAAAGGTCGGGCTGTGCCCAGCCATTGACATCGCTCTGGGCCCCGGCTGCTCAGGAGGACTAGATTTCACGAGCCAGCGATGCAGGATCCTTCAAAGGACGCCGACACGGACTGCCGCAAAAAGGATTCGCAAAAAAGGTGAACGGGGAGGGGGTTCAGGGGGCCTGTTGCGGCGGGGAGGGGGGAGAGGCTGCTGAAAGAGCCAGGCTTCTTTGCTCGACGCTGGCTTCCGCAGGCCCCTCTTCTTCTCAGAGAAAAGGTGAGACCGAGGAGGGGCTAATAGAGCCCAGAACCAGGGGGCACCAGGGAGGGGGGCAGCAACTACTTGACGGCGAAATCCATCGCGATAACTTAATCCCCGGATTACGGTGCCCCGGGTCGGGAATCCTCGCGGAAATCCGATCGCGACCGTCTGCGTTCCTCCTCCGCCTGGAATCCTTCTGTTTCTCGTTGCATCTCGCGGAGGAAACGCGGGGACGCCGCTCGGTTTCCGGCCCTTTCGCCGGACCCTCCGGACCGGCGGCTCCGGGATGTGGGAGACTTCCGGGACGAGTGTACAGGGTGAGACGCTTGGAATTATTAGCTGGCTGATTTCACGATCCGTGTTTAGGGAAGGGTTAGGAGATGTTGTTAAGGTGGTAGTCTTTACTGCTCCGCTCCAGTTTGGGTAATTATTTTGTGGTGACGTCGGAGTATGTGGCGAATTTAGTCATTATGACTTTTTAGAATTGATCTTGATTCTTATATTACGTTTTCTTAATGAAGCCTTGTGTTCCTAAAATTATCACTTTTTCTAAAATAGTGATGCCTCATTTAAGTCCAGGTATATATTTGCATTTATATTTGCTAATATCTTAGGTAACAGGGCTGTATATTTGACCTAAATTTTCCAAGAATCTCATGCCCTGGATCCATCAGAACCTCGACCGAATCGATTTATCATTCGATCCCAATAAAAAGTTCCCCGCGTCCCCTCGCGCTTAAAATTACTCTCATTAAATCGAACAAGTTCCCGATGTAAATCGACTCCCAACCCCCCAATCCCGAAACCATTGCAACGCAGAACCCCAACAGCGAGGTGAAAGATTGCGGCGAAATTGCCAGGAATTCGCGAGATTATCGTCGATCAAGCGTAATTCTCAGTCGTCATCGTCGCGGACAGAGCGCCGCGTGCGCGCGTCCTAACGAGCTTTTAATCGGGCGATCGTTAGGTCGTTAGCCGGGGCAAAGTTAGGCGATTAATTGCGAGACTCGGAGCTCCAACTTAGTGGCTAGTAAGTAAGTAATTGTTTGGTTGGCGGTACGTACAATACTTACAAAGTCGTGCTTGTCGCTGATGTTGTTGGTGAGTTTGAGTTTGTGGAAGCTCACGACCTTCTGCATCCACTGCTCGCCTGTGCTAGGCGAGTCCGGATGGATGTACATCCTCTTCGGCATTTCCGGATCGGCCTTCCCCGCCACCATCCACCTGCTGCTCAACAAAAGCATCGATCGGGGTTAGAAACGCTCTGGAATTCGAAATCGAGGGGAAATGTGGCTCTTCGAGGGGTACTTTCCGCGACGAACAATTTCTTTAAATTGTTCTACAAATTATAAATACAAAATGAGGTTTGGAAGGATGGAACGTTCACTCTGTGTACCGAATTTCCAATTTCACTGAATAGCTAGGTAGCTGGCGAAAGAGAAATCGCTATCGGTGGTCGCGAGGATCGCGGAATCTCTGCGGAGTGAAGGTTCAAAGCTAATCGCGAGACGGAAGCAAATACGAGGTGTCGAGGCTGAAGTTCCTTCACGAGCGCCTGATTCTTCTAAGCACCGGCTACCGCGATTGTTGTCTTTTAAGGGAGGCGTGTCTAACCGTTCGTAGTCTGATCGTCGCAGGTGGGTCAAACGACCGAAGGAAGAAGAACTCGTTCGACGAGTTCCAAAGTGGCTGCGGTCGCCGGCGTGATGTAATCGTTCATTGTGGTCTACGCGATTCGATTGGCCGCGCCCGGAGGCTCCAACTGCCTTTTCGCGCCTATTTTCGCGACCAATTTCCGATCCATACCCGTTCCCTTCGCTCTAAGCACCGTTAAAATTATTTGAGCAACGTCTGAAATAAATTTCGTCCCGGATAAACTGTTGCACGAGCGAAAGATCTATTCTGTTCCCTCTTTCCGACTCGACTATAATCACTCGTAACGCGGGAAACACGGATCACGCGAGCGATTTCGCGCGAATAAAAACCGCCCAGAAGCTGAATCAGTCGGAGCAGAATCCCGTTTCGTTTATTCGCGTGGGAATCCGCGCGCCGATTCGCCGCGGAACGCCATTTACGCGGCAATCGCGACTAAGAAGGATGGTCGACACGTTTCCTCGGATTCCGTCGCTTTGTTTCCAAGTCGACCGGCGAATTTTCACCGACAGCTTTCCCGGGAGGGCAATTACGTTCCGTTTAACACCCTCCCGGCGCGCTGAAACGCGGAACCGCTTCCGGAAAAACGTTAAACGGACTCGACTGTCGGCCGATGCGTGTCGTGAGAACGCTCGAGAATCCTCCGTGATTTTCCGGGAAAAGTTAATGGCGAGCTAAACGACCGACAGAACCCTGAACGCGCAGGCCTCGGTCGTGTAATTAGAAGACACCGAATTCCAGGGAAATTGTTCGTCCGGTTGAAAAATGTTCGCGGAAACGGGGTGTTGTGGTATCAACCCACGATTCGATAGATGAAGGTTTGAAACGGTTTGAGAAGCTTGAAGACAATTACCTAGGCCTACAGGCTGGCTGACAAGGATCAATCTGAGTGCAGGGATCTTATTTCATTTGTTGAGCTGTACAAATGATGACAAGTCAGTTTGAAAGTTTGGTTTTATTTGCACGGAAAGGCAGACGAATAGCCAATCAGCACGGGGCGTGGGAAGTGAAGAAGCATTGTTAGACCCTCAGGGATCTCGATCAATCTTTATAATATTCAAACCATACTGAATTCCAGGAAAATTTGTTCCGGTTAGAAAATTTTATGGAAATAGAGTGGTATCGGTATGGACGCACGGCGCGATGCTTTGTTTTATAAAGACTAAGCTACAAGCCCACTTACGATATCCATAATTAAAACTTTACTTTTCAGTACAGCTACCCTAGTTGTAGCTAATAGAACAAATTTGTTAAGCATTAAATAAATAAAACAGTAAATGTCAGTATTTACAACCCCAAAAACGAAAGTAACACGAGAGTTATTCGAACAATACCTTCGAAGTACAAAATTGTTTCGAGAAGATAACCGGCCGCGTTATCAGGATCTTGATCGCATTATAATTTTGACACATAAATTTCTTACGGTGAAAGCGGTTGGTGAAGTTATAAACCGAAACACGATAATAATGGCTATCGGAATTTCAAACGTGTAATCTTCCGGCGCGCACGATTTTTCTGAAGAGATGACGCGCTAATTCGAACGAAAGTGTCACTATAATCAAGTATTTCGAGCGCGATAATTTTGAAGTATAAATCTTTTCCAGCGAAAGTCGTAACTGAAATTACAGGCTCCCGAGAATAACGATAAGAAACATCAGCATTTGTAGCTCGTAATTTCCAAAGTATCAATTTTTTTTTAGAGAACGAGCCATGGAAAGTTTAAGACGCGTAATCTGGACTTCCAGATCAGTAAATTATTTTTAAGTAAACATGCAATAACTTGAATATGAAATAAAAAGCTTTGCTCTTGCTGTGAAGCAAAATAATATTTCAGTATTTCCAATACCCTAGTTTTCTATTTTCAATGTTTTTTTCCGCGATAATTCAGTTCAAGTTAAATACAGAGGATTTCTTCCCGTAAAATAAGACCGAAATTTGACCTCATCAGCGAACGACTTTCCCCAGAAACCAATTCTCACTTCATCGTCATCACGATCGGGAGAAAAGAAGAAAAAAAATTAATCCTCCGCGTGCTCGCCACAGAAAGTGCCAACAGCTCGAGCCACCGCACGAAAGTATCGAATAATCAGATAATTGCATTAATTTCCGTGCTCCGAGAGCACGTCGGCACGAAACGGCTCGGCGTCTCGACGCAACAGCCTGGCGGTTCGTGGCCGTGCGATTCGAGGAACCGTCAGGATCGTTAATGCGCGCCGCCCGCGACAATTAGACCTTCGTGTGTTTCTCTTACCTGTTGTGGAACTTGTATCTGTAGTCATCCGCGGCCACGATGTCCAGCAGAAGCATGTACTTGGCCTTAGCGTCCAGTCCGCTAACTCGGAACTTCATTTGAGGGAACATCTGCCTAGACCCCGGATCAACAGGTACACTTTGATTAGATATCAACAATAACAATGGCAAAACAGAGTACAGTCATCAGTTTTGATCAGTATATATTTAATCCATTTGTATCAAAGGGATATTTTACTCGAAAACGTCGTATTTTTAGATCTCCGTGTAATCTGGGGATAACTACAATGGGTAAAAAATGGTTGACCCTCTGTTAGTAGCGCCTCTAGTGGAGAATTGATGAAACACAATCACTATATCAGCTTTTGTTCACTTACAGCACCTGAGTTTCATCGTTTCTCCGTTGGCAGCACTGATAGCAGGGGGATTCCTTTTATAACTTTAATAAGTATTCTACAATTAGAGTTAAAAATTTAACCCGTCTTGTCTTGCATAGGATATAAATTACAATTAATGGGACGAAGTTAATAATATTTGATAAGTGATCGAATCTGATGGCCTAACTCTAGTGTAATAAATAAACAGAATTGATTTGTAGCTTGATCATAACTATTGTCACGCTGGCCAACACAAGCATAGGTTTACAGTCGGATCAGATTCCCACAATATTGCAACGTGCCACTTTATAGGTTAGGTTTCATTTGCATGAAGATACGAAGACTAGATCAGCGAGGCAGACTAATAATATAGTGTGGACAGTGAAACGCTATGATGAAGGTAGACACTCAGTGGCCTCGAGGAACCAGTTGATTCTGACCCTACAATATTCAAATAACTTCATTCCCTGATAGGAATACCCAATGCACACTTAGAAAATTAATATTAGTTTAAAAAATGTAAGATTCCGTGGTGTCTGGATCGTTAACATCTCTATTGAACTATTCAATTTGCGCCAGTATCGTATGCAACGTGATAACCAAACAGTATATGTGAGGTTACTAGAACGACAGGTAGGGCAACCTAGGGGGCTTTGAGTAGCCATTTAATTTCGATACAGTCTTTCTTGTTCGCTGGGAATACCCATCATTCTCAAACCTGATCACGTCATTGACTCTTAACCTCCTAAACGTTTCAATATATATTGAGCACAGTGCGTTCCCAGGTGTCTCCGACAGTGCACGTAACCTAGATAACCATCTACATTCCGCAATAGATATGCACGAACTAGTTTGGAGACACGTGGCACCTATTCGATTTATCATGAGCGAAACGTCCATCGAATCTCTAAGCCTCCGATAGTTTGATGCTAACTTAATCCTGAAATTTCATCGCAGGAAGACCCGTAAGAACGTAGCCAGCTTCCCCCCAAAAACAACGTCGATTGCGCGTCATCGTCGAGGCAGCCGCGGAATTTTCACGAAGCCGCGGCATTCCTGTCGCTGCCAGTGTCTTACAAAGTCCGCGCGGAAAAAGTCAAAACACGTCGGGCCACGAAATGCCAGCGCAGGCATTTCGCCGTGAGCGTTGATCGCTTCGGACCAGGATGCTGCGCGCGGCAGAAGGCGCCTTTTCTTCGTTCACCGGGGATTATAATTCCCCGACGAGCACCAAGTTCCTCCCTAACTGCTCACCAGGTTGCCGCGTGCTGATGGCCTCTCGCGCGCTCGGACGAGATCTGCTTTTTATTCCCGGGAACGCGCCTCCAGCGGCCGTCGTCTGACAGCATCGCCGATTGACTCGTGCACGTTTCTATTCCGACCTCTCAGGATTCCACCGAGTGTCGTCGTCGCGGCCCCGGCAACTGGCCAGCCCGTCCACCGCGCGATTTATTCCTCCCGGCAATCGATGACGCTCCTAACGCCTTTTTTTTTTTTTGCCTCTTCCCCTGTCGATTCCTCAACTCTGTACTCGTTCCGTGCGGAACGACCACGATCGTATACCTCGACCATGCATCTCGACCGCCTATGCACGTTTCACGCACGAAACGGATGGGACAAAAGGATATCCGAGAGATCACAGGTCTTAAAATTGAAAGAAAATCCTGCGACAGAGATTACGCTCTTTGAGGAGGCTTCAAAGGGCGGAAAATTCTCATTTTGGCATCTTCTATGACGCGTTTGCTTGGGAAAAAGTTTAGAGGATGCGAATTTCTCTAAAAGAACCGAACTCGTTGAAGAATCACTCGACTTCGCGAGAAAAAATTCACTTCGACGAGCCAATGAGCGTCCTGTGCGTCCGCTCGGTTTATGTAACAAGCTTTAACGAACCGAGATCCTCAACATTCACGCCGAAATCCCCTTTGAAAGGACGCGCAACGAGTCGCGGAAGAACGAGGAAGAAAGACTCTCTGAATGAGATTAGTCGAGTCTTGCGAGAACTTCGTTATTTTCCTTCGCGCAATTACGAATTTCGCGTGGTTGCACCCGCTTCGCGTAGTCCCTGAATGAAAACGAACGAAGGAAGTGCCGTCTACCGGAAGGAGCTCGAAGAACTTCGTCGCGGAGGCGTGTCGAGGTTCCGCGATGCCAAAAATTGGCCAATTATTCGCGGGAATTGAGGCCCACAAAGCTGACTCGAAAAACGAACGCTCTACGATCCATTTGGCGAGATTTCACGGGTACTCCGAGGTTCCTTCTCTCTTTGTTTTCAATACGATACACATAACCTAGCAAAATTATTGCTACTACGATCACGAATTTTCTACGAGGGAGTACGTATTGTAGAATATTCGGAACCTAACCTTAAAATTGTGTAAGAAACGAGCTACTACGTAAGGCGTACTCGCGTCCTGCATAACATAACCTAAAAACTCTGAGAAGAAGAACATTTACTAGAGGTACAAATGTCCTCCAAAAAATTGTACACCATCCGTGCTGCCAACATTCCAATTTACACCAGACTCTCCGGAACCAAACCGCGATGGAAATATTGCACGGGGGTAAAAAAAGTCGAGTGGAACGTAGTTAAGGCCTCTAATTGATTATCAGACCGATCGAGCGTGCAGTCACCCCGCAAAGTGGGAACAATGGAGGATATCCACGGCCGTAGATGTCCACGGAGACATCCTGACTTATATTTATCGGCAACGCGGCACGGCAACAACGTATTGTTCGTTCGAGGGGCAACCTCGAGGTGCTTTCTCAGACACTACTCGTTTATGGCGGCTAATTACCGTAATTGGTCCCGCCGTTATAACGACGACGTTTAAGGATACCTCGCGCCGTTAGCATACAAAAGTACAATAATTCGAGGGGCGCACCGGCGATTTCTCTTAAGGCAATCGCAGCCTCCATAATGGCGAACGTTTCTCGAACGTACTCAAGCTCCTCTTTTTGCGATCTTTTCGCGTTAGGCTCGATTCGAACTCTGAAGGAAGGAGAGCGCACGGTCGGGCAGAGCCTCGTGTAAATTGGAACGATGGCAGCACCGTATCGGAATTTTAACTCGTGGTTGGGCACGTATCTAATATTCGAATACTGTTAGCCAGTTGGTTAACTTGTTAAGTAGGTTAACCAACATCTAACTTCAAATATAACGCATATTAAGATAAAGACAGAAATTTTACAGTAACAAAAGAGAGAACAAATGATATGAGCTCTTCATGGCGGGCATATAAAACTGTCTAATTACGGTCTTTCAATACCGACGTTAATGTTTTTATACTCTTACACAATTGTAAAATTAAAGTGCACATAAACCTGAGGATTATCTTTATATTAGTAGATATAGTTAACGTCGTAGATAGAGCAACCTAAACCGATTACGACACTACAACAAGAAGAAGAGACAACGGGAAGCCACATGTCTCCTAGTCTTTTATAGAATGCCAACGTAAAAACACGTTGCAGTACCCACTACAAATCTAGAACTGCAGATAGTAACGCTAACGCTAAAGGGACATAGTTTTTATCTGGGCAAAAACGAATAATACGTTTACTTTTTCTGTGCAAGGGCAATTATTAAGTTAACTCGTCTGTGCCAGTTAACGAGTTAGGAGACAATTAATTTTTTACGGTTGGGTTACAAGCAATTCACTGAATCTCACCCTTTCACCTTGCTTTCTCTACTGTTATGTGTCATGTTTTCATGTATGTTTGCATATTTGGTTAAAAAAGAAAAAATTAAAGGGTTTGCGTACTAAAAGTTACTAGATCACTATTCACTTGGAATGCACTCTATGTTTTATAATTCTAGATACTCTTGCTTATCTCCGTTCATTGAGAATAAAATATTCAGTTTCTAATAGCTCCTGAAGGAGAAAGCTTACATAACCTTAAATGACCTTTATGATGCAAAGAACGGAAACGTAGTCTTACATAAATTGAAAGCAGATTCTAACGTAGACCCAAGATGGTAGTGGAGAATTCTAAATCGTTTTGATTTCCGTCGAAAATCATGAATATGTTCCCACTCGACCCAAACCTCCAATCTGGGGGATGAAAAATAGGTCGATCACGCATCGTGGTCGATTTTAAAGGCTGCCCAGGGATTCCTGGTAGCATCTGCCTACTGTCCTGGATTTCCTGACGAAGGGATCGATCCTCATTCACGTCGGGATCATACTGAAGGATACTAAGCCGGATTATCCTGGCTGTGTGAGCCAAAACATCCCGCGGGAGGATACGGAGACGCTGATAGGCGACTCGCATCGGGAGTCGACCAACATACGAATGCATGTGAAAACTCCTTAGATGGAAATGATAATTTGTGTGAATTACACGTTCGAATTTGGAGGTTATGGAACACGAAAGAGGGAAGATAGGTTATCCGACTGGTCGTCAAAAATTAACAGATCGTTCCCGAAACGAGCTCAAGACCACTCCCACGCTTTCGTAACGGGTGTCTCGTAAACCAGCTTTTCAGAATCCCCGGCAGCCGCGTTGTTGCACCAATTCCCCGTCACATAACTCTCCCTGGCCGTGTACCATCGTCAGTAAGCAAATTATCTGACCGAACAACGACGTACGAGGCTGCTGAAAGCTGTAAATCGTCTGATAAAGCTCTTTGACTGGCCGAAACTGTAACTTTTAAAACGGCTGATAAGGGTTTTAACCGACCAAGGAAGAAGCGGTTCTTGGGGGCCGTGCGTGAGTAGACGAACGATGACGCCTCGAA